GTTTGCCAAAGGGGGCTCTCATTCACCCTGGGCCAGTGGACGGTGAGCAAGAAAAGTGCAGTGGGGAGGGTGGCCCCAGTTCAGCACACCCACCTACAAAGGCTGAGGCCTCTTCAGCAGGAGCCACACCTTTCAAGCCAACACTGGCGTGTGGCCTAGAGGAAGGTCTGAGGACCCAGCTCCCAGCATATCGTCATCAGCCACTCAGCCTGGGGAAAGTGACGGCAACAAGGCCAGGTAAGTCACCAGCGGTTCCTGACTCAGAAAAGACTTGTGTAGAAGTGGTCCCCATTGCATCTGGGTCGGCCACACAGGCGGGAGCCTGGAGCTCACTGGTAAGGGAAGGCAGAGCTGGTGGACAGGTGTCTGAAGTCCGGAGCACCAGCACCACAGAGAGTGCTCGTCCCCTTGTCCGTGTCCCCAGTCTCGTTTGCTTCCATGGCCACACTTACCCTGCTGTGGTACCAGAGCCTCATGTGCTGAGTATGACTGTCTTGTAAAAATGACCGTTGACATAGGTTAAAGCCAGGTCAGCTTCCTGAAAACCTGTTGGAAGTCAGACCCTCACCTTCTAAGAGCTCTGTAGAGAGTTGAAGGCTCACATTAAGCACATTAAATACTGAATCACTTCCTGTCGTAAGGAAGGTGTTGTGAGCTGTTATTCTCTGAAAGCCAGACTCTCAGATAATCTTAGGACATAAGGAGAGGTGTGGAATCATGAGAATTTCAGTCTCAAGAGATCATGTTTCCAGCACTTGGTCGACCTCACAGGAAATTCTCATGTAGGTCCAGGAAGGTGATGACTCTGATGACTCGTGGGCAAAGCACTAGCAGTGACCGTGTCAGGAGCTTCGATGGAGCCTCCAGACAGCACGCAGAAACCGGTACGGTGGCCACCCTACCTTCAAAGTCCCCTTAAGGAGAGATGGGATGTGGAGACAGGAGAAGTCCTGGCTTCCTGCAGCACAGCTAGCTGGGCAGACACAGCAGCACACAAGACTTGGTTGGACCGGGACAGGGAAGAGCAGCGCTCTAGATAGTGTGCTCACATCTGCAGGTGCGCTGAAGCCCTGCATGAAGATGCACATACGTGAAGATGCACATCCCCCAGACACCCCAGGCTACAGACACACACAAACACATACACAGATAGTGCCATAAGGGATTTAGAAAGGGGAATCCACAAATGTCTGGGGGAAAAAAGAAAGTTCTCAGATGACTCAGCCAAATTGTTTTTCATTTGTAACTCCTGGCTTTGTAGCCTGTAGGCCTGACTTGAGGTCCTGCCGCCTCTTCCGCATGCCCACCATCAGGGCTGCCTCTTTTGAAGTTTGGCTGATTATTGTCTTGTCTTGCATCAGTCAAAACCTCATTCTCGAATGAGGAATTGCTTCAAACAATATTGCAGTGCTCTCCAGGAGCCCCCTGAAGCCCTGGAACTGCAGAGCGATCGGTGCGCACATGCGGCCTGGAAAAGCTGCAGCCCGAGACTCCAGCTGTGAGAGCATATGTGGACTGAGCCCAGCAAAGCCTCAGCGACAGGGTTCTCAGCGTAGCCAGGACGCCCCCCCTTTCCTGATTACGCCTCCCAGCTGAACAGGAACTAAGAAGCTTACTCCTGCTTCTTCATTGCACTCTGCAAGTGTGTGGACTGCTGTGGCCCACAGCTGGGGAAGTTCTCTGACTCTCTTACCTGTCTCTAATTGAAGCCAGGTATTGTATTTTGGCTCAACCCATGTCTGAAAATCACAGACCATGGAAGCTAGTCTCATGGAGACACCAGGCCCTGTCACTGCAGTCTTTTCTTTCTTGTCCATTGCAGTTCATAACCTCAAAGGTCTGCTCCCTGTGGTCATTCCACAGGATTTGTACGATCAGTTCCTCCATTCTGCAAGAAAGGACACCAGGAGAGGAACAGAAGCATGCAGTGTCCTATGTGCGACACTGGTAAAGAAATGAAAACTTGCTGATCTGGCCTGTCTCCTCCGCTTTGGCTTCCAGTGATTCTCAGAGAACATTTCCAGGGTCAGAGTCTATACATATCACTCCTCAGAAGGAAGCATGGATGGCAAAGCCTGGCAACCTCAAATTTGATGATTTCTTTGGTTGTTTTTCAGAGACTCTTGAACAATTTGCTTCAGTGCTATAGTTAGAAATGCTCATTCTAGTGGTGGCTAATGCTGGTGTTCCCAGCCATTTGCAGACTGAGGCTGGAGGCTTCCCACAAGTTCATGCCAGTCTGAAATAGTGAGGCATTGTCTCACAGGAAAAGAGAGCAGGCAGGCAGACAGGCAGACATGGGGCAGGGAGGCAGGCTCCTTGACTAATTCTAGATGGAGGAGGACCCAGTTCCCTTTGTGTCCTGTTCTGAGCTCCTCTAGACAAAGGAGGACTCAGTTTTTTTTTCTGTCTTTCCTGTCCTGAGGAAGGCCTGGGGATACAAATCATCCAAGGTCTTCGTGTGTGTCCACAAAGCGTGCAGTCCTTTGCAGAGATGGAAGACACCCTGGGATGAAGAGTTCTGAGCAGTGTGTCCACTAGGAGATGTAGGAACTGTGAGGAAGGCGAGGCCACTGAGGGGAGAGCTTGGTCCCATTCCTCATTCCCAAACAAACCAGTGAGTGTTGTGAAACAAACCTCACCCAGGCCTTAGATGAGGAGGCAGGAGCAGGGAAGCTGCTTCAGGCAGCAGAGGGAGGGGGCGGTTTCCAGAACACCTCAAGATCCCTGAGCAGACCCGCTGGCTGCTGCGGGAAGACCCTCTGCCCGGGACGCGCTGAGGGACATCTCAGGTTCATCTCAGCATCTGTGCCTTTATACAGTACCCCAGCAGAGCCCAGGAGCAGCCAAGGTGGTGAAACACTGAGGGAGGGGGAGGACAAGAGTCATTCAGCGGGGTGGGCGGGGCCTCACTGACTTACTAAGAGAGAGAGAGGACTCAGAGAGCCCCAGGGGATTGTGATGGGTTGTTTCCTCTTGGCAGGTGAGAGAGGCGTACATCATAACACGTGATTATCCCCACAGAGGGCCCGATCACTGTCACTCGGAGAATGAGGAAAGCTGATCTTCATTCAGGAGGACCTGGGGCTACCCACCCTAGGCTGGATACACAGAAGCAAATCTGACTTCCCTGACAGCGACTTCTCGGCTCTCAGCAGAAAACTGGCGAGTTCTGCACAGAGTCAGCCCATTCGAAATCATCGTCTCTGAGCACCTGCAGTCGATAATGTTCCCGGGCTGAGTCAGAGGAGCATTTCCTAGTGCTTCTACAGCTTTCTAATTGTATCTGTTACTCAGAGTAATTCTTCAAAGTTGCAAGACTGGAGGTGGCAAGCAGCTGGCGCGGATGGATGAGAGCATGGTGTACTCTGTAACGTACAAGTGAAACTATTTGAAATAAGCTAAGGGGATTCTCCCTCTGACGCTCCTTGCACTTCATTTTTGTGAGGCAGCGCTAGCCTTTGCGCATGCCCAGAGCTCCTACATGCACGTTTTCAAGTGTATGTATGTGCCGTGCATTGTGGGTGCCGCTGCAATCACAGCCAGCAGAAACAATCCGGGTAAGGTAAAATGAAATTCAGCTCAACTCCAGTCAGCTGGAACAGGGACAAATCTTATGGTGTCTGACGTCAAGTAATTCATTTCTTACACTTGAAACACAGTGAACTTTGGGGGAAAGTTTCCACATGACAGTTACCCGAACAAAGCTTTATAACAGCACTTCACACATATTAAATCAATTCTCAGTCGGAACTCTTCATTTTTGTCTGTTTTTGTTAAAAAGATCCAAAGGAGTAAAGCATTCTTCAGGGCAAGCTTCAAATTTCTGTCAGAGGAGGGAACAAACGTGCTTAAGTCCCGCTACCACGCCATGCAGTTCTTCAGCCCCATGACATGCAGAGAAGGGCAGCTTCCCCTCCTCTGGGGTTCCATTACAATCTCCCTCCCACC